CCTTCACTGGTGACTATTATTAACCCCCATTTGTAAGCATTTAATGCAAAGCCCTATCTTTACTGGGAAGGCCACTCTTACCAGGCATCAAAGCATGTTAACTATACTTCTTCATAAAAGGCAAGATCATAAAGCTGGATTGGCAGGCAGTATTAGTGTAATTGCGGACTGTCGTGGTTTAAGCTCAGAGGGCAACTGAGCACCACACAGCCGCTCACGCCTCCCGTCCCTCCCAGCAATAAGAAGGGACAAATAAACCAGGCTTAGGATTCAAGAGAGGACCGGGAGGGGCAAATCACCCATTATGGTCACAGGCAAAAGGCAGACTCGTTAGGGGCATGAAAAAGAGAACATAGATTTATTACAGACACTAGCAGCAACACTTAACAGAGTAGGACAGTGGGAAGCTTTGCCACATACACTTCATACAAGCTGTTCAGTGATAACAAACCAAAGGAAAAGGTATTTGTCAGCAGCTATATCGGTGTTTTAGATTCACCTGAAAATAAGGGAGCCCTGTGGATGGGGAATGCAACCCTTGTCATAGTAAGCATGAAAGTGTATTGTCTTTAAAATTCATTTTACAACAGATTCAGATGAAGATCTAGAAGTAAGGGAAAAGACAATGTAGGATTTAGTATATAAAAACTGCTTTATGAAGAAGCATGATTTAGAAATAAATAAGTGTTCCATTTTTTAATGTTCTCCCTTTTCAGTGTTTGTCAGAAGAGAATGTGTGTATGATCTGGCAAGATTTTTGCGTATTTTTTGGCACTTAAAATTATTTCAAGACTAACGTTGGCATTTTCATAACTGCTAAATCATTAGAAAGATGACGTTTTGAGTTTGCAGGGAAGTTAGCTTGGCATTGTTCTCATTTGCTTTCTTATAGCTAACCACATGGTAGTATAAAATCTCAGAAGAATCACTGCCCCCTCGTATTGTATCCTAGGGGAGTAAATCACCTTAAATAAGAACTAACCTGATGAATACTTATTCATCTTTCCATATACCAAACCTTCTTACATTCAAATATGTTTAAGATTTTTTTCTAGGTTTAGGAAAGGTGCTAACCAGTCTGGTTGTCAGGTTAACCCCACCAACCTCAATGCTACAGTTACTGTAAATTCTGCTGAAACAATGAGTGGGCCTAGAGCTGCAGGCAGCCTTTCACTGGACTACAGTGCAGCTGAATGAGGATTTACTGTTCCAAAAGCCCACACAATGCAGTTCTAGAGGGATGCATTCTCAGTACTCTGTTCACTCCTCAACTTTTGGATTTTTGTGCTAGTTTAACTGTTGAATACCAAAGAAATGTTACAACCACGACAGCAGAAATTATCATCTAGAATTATGATAAGCAAAGACACTGGTTTCCCTAAAGTAAAGTAATTAATTTGATGTGCTATTTGCAGAGGTAAGAAAAAAAATCTATTTCTCTTCAGAGCAAATGTTAAGTAGGGGACTGAAAGTACCTCCAAAGCAAATATTTCATTTTTATAAACATAATAAACTAAGAGTGGAAAAGAAAGTTACATAAAACTTGCCAGAACATAGTTATTGAACACTGCAGTTTCTAATCTCAGCAATAAATGTAGGTCAAGGGAACTGGAAAATCTAATTACTCTGTAAATTTTTAAACCTGCTTCTTTCTTCTCAAGGAAAATAAAATTGTTCCCTTGCATTTAAGCAGACTTCATTTCATTCAAAGTATAACTACAGCTAGGTGGAATGTTATTTGTGTGTGAATGTAGATGTTTTAGAACTTCCTTTAAAGCAGCTTTGCATCCTGCATTGTACACTCAGCTCTGGTTCACACTTGTGCTCCAGGTATCAGCAGTTACTTCACAATTACTATAGCTATAGTGCAAAATCCAGATACTATCTTCACAAAAAACAAAACAAAACAAAACAAAACAACACCAAAAAAAAAAACCCACACACAAAAAAAAAAAAACACAACAAAAAACAACCAAACAAAAAACCCCTCCCACCTCTGAATAAAATAGACCTCTGGTACCACACTGTAGCAGTTCCTTTCAGTAATATATCCCATGAAATCATGATTTGATACCCAGTATTCACACACTTCATTAACAAAATACAAAGCAACTCATCATTACAGAACTACTGCAAATATGAATATGTGATGGCATTGTAAATGTTAATTATTTACTGATGATTTGATTATTTCACATGCAGTTGTTGCTGACTTCTCTGTATAGACAGACCAAATAACTTAGACTTACTAGATGACTGAATACTTAAAAAAAGTACAAGCACCTTGAAGACTCAACCCCTTGATAAAAACCAAGGGCCATTTAAAAATCACACCTACAAACAAACAAACAAACAAACAAACAAATAAAAAAAAATATATATATATATATAATTTCAGGCATTTAAGATTAATTCCCAGCACAATGAATCTCAACTTTGGGGTGGGAGGGGAGGAGCAGCAGCACCTCTCAAAACAAAATCCCTCAAGATCCAAAAACCAAAATGTCCTACCACTTTTTAGGATTCATCTGTCATTATTTTTTAATATTTTTCCATATTCACAGAGTTGAGTTTCTTCAATTTTGTAAAATAAAAGCCTAATTACATATAGGCAGAATTTGGAACTTTCACAAAAACAAAGAGAGCCCCAATGAATTTACAAATCATTGGAGTTGTTTGAGAATATATGGAGTAGAAAACATAACTATAGCCAGCCTACTGACCGGCCCATCTCACAGAGCTCTTTCTTCCAGCTCATACCTCTGTGATACGTGACAAAGAAACCATTGAGTTTCACAACGGAGATAGGATTTGTGTGTTGTGTTCTGATTTGACAGTCAAATGTATTGTTTGTTTTTTGGGGGTGGAAGGGGTGAGTTGTACAAAAGTAGAAAAGCTGGCCTAAGCTCATCTGATCTTTGGACACTGCTCTCGTTAAGTATAAATCCTACTTTTGAACTTCCTCCAATTGCATGAGAGGTGAAGCCTCCCAAACAAACAAAAAAGATAATTCAGAAAGAGCCATACTGAAGACCGAGGAACAATCCAAGGCAAAATAAGTTCTACCATAACAATCAATTACAAAAACCAGACTAACGGCAAAGATTTTTCTTGCTATATGCATTTCACAAATGCCCATCTGTGCTGTTTGTAAAGATGTATCTTTAAAACTACACAGGAATATGGCAAAGGTAGCACAGTCAAACACGTAAAATCTAAGCAATGTTGATGCAATGACTGTGCAATCTTAATTTGTAGCCTTTGAGTTTCATTACACCATACCATACTTCCTTTTCTATATCATGGACAAGTTTATGAATACAAGAATCAAAAACATGTTTTCATTCCTCAGCATTCTCAAAGGTTTCAGATCTCAACCCTTTAAACTGTGAACTAAAAATTTCAGGTACTAATTGGGTATTGGTCCTTCCCTCACAAAAAAAAAATAATTTATTCTGACTGAGGATCCATGAAATAACTACTAAAATCGAATGTAGCCTGATGCTGGACTGGTAGCAGGTAATGAGACCTTGATCTGCACTGAGTGAAGAAAAAGAAATCTAACCTGCCAGTTCATTTGCTAAGTGGAAAAAGTGTCAGGGGTCTTCTTAAGAAAAATATGTTTATACAAGTAATCAATGTGTAAAAGCAAATTAAATTTGGAGTTGCTTAATCTTTGGATGCTTGACTTTACAGTTGATTACCAAAATAATATAACTCAATACAATTGTGCTTTCCTTCCTTCAGCTTCCACAGTTCTCAAGCTCACTCATTGATGATTTCAAGCTGACTCATTGCACTTCGTTCATGTTCTGAAGAACAGAAGGTCCAAATTTCACTAAGACCCAGAGTAACCAGTGATGACAAACCAAACTTCTCAATCCATGCCACAAAAAGCATATAAAAAGTCTGGCTTGTCACAAATCAACAAAATCGGGAGAAAAAAAAACAACAAAAAAAAAAAAAAAAAAAAACAAAAACAAAAAAAAACCAGGCGTTCTGGAACAAGAAGAAACAACTAGGATATAAGTTTAAAACACACTGGTCCACTCTAAAAGCACAGAGGAGCCTGCAGAACATCAGTAAGATGAAGGAAAAAGTTTATGAAACAGTTTGGGCAGGTGGCTTCTACAAGTATGTAAGTGCACACCACCTTCCGCCTGCCAACGTGACAAAGCCACATTTCACGCACAAGAAGCTGCTTTGACGGCTACTTGCAATCAACAGCAATCCAGGGGCAACAAAGAGTAGCATTTCCTTACTTTGATTTGGGGTTGGGTTTTGCAGGATTTTTTCTTTCTTCTTTTTTTATGACAACGAAAACACCAGGGCTTTCATGCTATCAAGTGATAACAAAGGTATGTGGGCAGCAGACCTTTTTCTGGCCCGCTGGCAGCACTGCAGAGGCCTTCTGTCCACTTTCAGCTCCCAAATAACGTTATTCTACAAATTAAACAAAAAAATAGCACCGGCTGCCTGCTTTCCCAGCTTACACACGCCGGTATCTTTGACAAAAAATAAGTTATTTCTAAACCGGTTTAACGTACATCGGCAAAGCACCGCTCTTGCTGGGGCACTGGGGCCACCCGCACCCCCCGTCCCGCCAGCCCCGCACCCCCAGGCCGGGCTCCCCGCCACGGCGGCTGCCGGCCGACACCGCGTCCCCGCTGCGGGCAAAGGCCGGAGGAGCCGCCCCACGGGGGACACCGGGTGGGACAAACCCGCGGGGCCGCCCGGCGCGGCCCGCCCTCACCGCTGACGGCGGGGCAACCGCGGTCAGTGGGATCCAGCGAGGGGAGGGTTGGTTTCTGTCAGGGCAGAGCCCCGCCTCACCCCACAGCCCCCTCCGCTACCTGCCCCGGGCAGGGGCCACCCCACTGGTGACTAAGCACCGCCGCGCCGCGCCACGCGCCGCGACCGCCCTTCTGCCTTCCCCGCCCGCGCGCTACCCGGCCCCGCCCGCCGCCGCGGCCCGCCTCCCGCCTCCCCTCCCCGCGCCTGCGCGGTGCGGCGCGGCGCGCGCGGGCGCAGGAATGTGCGTTACAGTTAAATAGTGGGCGCAGGGGCGGCCGCCGCGGTGCGCGGGGCGGTGGCGGCTCAGGGCCGGGCCGGGCCGGGGCGGCGCGGCGGGAGAGAAGCCTCCATGGCGCGGCGCGGCTCCTGGGGCGGCGGCGGAGCGGTGGTGCTGTGACAGGAGCTCGGCAGCCGGGACTGGCCTTCCTCCTGCCCCACTCCCGAGCCGGGGGGGGGGGGGGAGAGCCCGCGGCGGCGTCCCCGGGGGCGCGGCGGCGCTCGGAGAGAGCGGAGCCGTGGCGGCGGCAGCGACGGCCGGGAGCAGCCGGCGCGTCACCGCCTCTATGATGAAATTTAAGCCGAACCAGACGCGGACGTACGACCGGGAGGGCTACAAGAAGCGGGCGGCGTGCCTCTGCTTCCGCAGCGAGCGGGAGGACGAGGTGAGCCCGCCGAGCCGCCGCGCACGTGGGGCGGGGACGGGCCCGGGCCCGGTCCGGGCGGGGCTCCCGCTGCGCCGTCACCCGCTGGGCCCGCCAGTGCCGCGTCCCTTTGTTTGGCCGGGCCGCGGGCCCGAGTCGTTCCCAGGTTCCCCCCTCACCGCACCACCGGGGGTTGGGGGGGGGGGCGCGTCGGTTCCGTGGCGCGGCGCGCTTCTCGCCCACCATTTTGGGGCGGTGCGGGGTGCGGGCCCACGTGCGCGGCACCCTCCTTTGTGCGCGGCCCCGGGCGGCGCCTCTTTTTTGGGGGGGAGGGGGGGCGGAACCGGCCACCGGGGTTATCCTTTGTGTGCCTGAAACGCGCAGAAAATGGGTTAATGTGTAATGGCGCATTGAGGGCAGGGCCGGGGCTGCCCTTAAGACGAACCCCCCCCCCCCCGCCATAGTTGGGTGGGATTAAAAAAAAAAAATCTTGTAATTTGAAAAACCTGTTTTTTCCCACCAAGGGAGTGAAATGGTACTTAAAACTATTTTGTCAAGGAGCTCGGGGGGGGGGGGGGGGCGCTGGGGTGGCGTGTTGCGGTTTTGGTTTTAAGAGGGTAACGCTCAGCCGGGGTTTTATGTTGCAGCAGAATCGGGAGGTGGCAACAAAGTTGTCCTATATTCCTAGCCAAGGTCAATTGCACTGGCCGTTATCTGGGAACTTTGCTGATGGTTTCATTGCACAATGCATTTATAGACTGTCTCGGACTGGAAGCATACCCTCTCCTGATTTTCATTTTCATTTTCCTTAATAGCTATAAAATAACTACAAAGGTTAGGGCTTGGGGCTTTTATCTATATACTGGAAGAAGCTAGTGTCCTATCCAGGCTGCCAACATGTCAAACTTCTTGCTTAAGCATCTACTAAGCAATATAACACAGCAGGGAGAGGCCTGATCTCAAAATACGGGCCCTTGGGTTTAGGAAAAAATTTATATGGTCTTCTGATGTATACCATTCCCTATGTGGTATAAATACAGCATTGGGGCCACACTGATCAGCTTTTCCTAATATTATAAAGGAGAAAGGTGCCCAGAAGGAAATCTTACTAATTCTTGCTGCCTTTTTTTTGTTTGGTTTGGTTTAGCTTTTCTTTGGTTTCAGCAGCATGTCTGATACTCCAGTGTGCTTCCCCATTTATGTGACTTTGGGATTTATTTTTGGATGCTACTCCAGCTTAGACTTGTTTGGAGTTCAAACACCTGAGCCACTGTTACAGCTTTCTTGCACCAACTGTAGTTGAAAATTCATGGTTGGGGTCACCTTTGTCAGTAATTTTCATTCATTCTTTGCTTCCTGCCGCGACTTATATTCTCTTGCATCCAAATGAGACCACAGGCTGCTCACAAAATCATTTCTGTGTAAGAACACCCTCTGAGGCTAAGGATGGTAGCGCAGCTTTGCTGGGCTGTGTAAGAGGAGTGGATGCTGACACTTGTTGCACTGAAGGGCTTTGTGGTATTGCGGATGGTGCACCTGTATGGCTGGCGTGAGACTGGGCTTTGGCATTGTGCAAGTAGACATACTTGAGGGTGAGATGAATGGCATAACACCAAGTCAGACTTGGGACATAGATTAAGCATGTTGGAAACAGTTCAGATCACTTTCTAGTAAGTTATTTCCAGAAAAGCAATGGCAGCTTCTCCAACTCGCTTTGTTTTCTAAGTGCCAGCTCCATCTATATTAATACAGAACCTATGCTGTAGAAGCTTGCCTGACTACTGTTTGTGATTAACTTGTATCACCTGCCGGATTCCTTATATTGGCCGGATGAGGCTTGTTTCTGTTGTTCTTGAACGCTGTTGTCTTAAGTTTCTGTGTAGGTTTACTTCAGATTCAATGTAAATGTCTTCCCTGTTTCCTTTCTAATTCTGTAGAGATTGTGCCATTGGTTTTCAGTTGATCTACATCTCCAGGGGTCTTTTAGTCCAAGGCAGCTTCTGCTGTGAAGGAGCACAAAGGCAGTACCTGGGTGACTGAAGGGAGAAGAGGGGGAACAGCAGACTCCTGTAGAAGCTCTTGAGAGGGGGCATGGAAATAGTTTTCATAACCTACAGGGTTACTACCCCATAAACATAGAGTTGCTTGGCATTGGAGGAGGGACAATAGAACAGACAGCTGAAAACAGTCTTCAGCAGTAAATTTATTTTTAGGAGTCTTAAAGCAAGAAATCAAAATCTCAACTTTTTGGGGTTTTACTGGAGATACTGTGTGCAAGATGCCCTCAATAGATCATGTTCTACTTTTCAGCTGGTTAGTTTCTATCTGGAGGATTGAGTATCTGCACCAATTATCTGATACAAATCTTAGAATTACCTTGTCTTCCTGTTTCCATTCTGATTTTCTGAAAGGCCAGTCCAAGCCCAGTTGTGCCTGTGCTTTATCTTTTTTCCTCCTTTCTTGCACTTAGCTTTCTGACATATCTGTAGACAGCAGTCATTCCTTTCTTAGCACTTTCTGAATGGACTTGAAGTCTTAGAGGCTCATCTCCTAACACCAGTTTTTTATTTTTCTGATCATCATGGTAGCTCTCATCTCCTTCAGTTTGACAGCCATATTTTTTTGAATGTGGGCAAGTTGTGGTTGCTTTAGATGGAATCTGTGTTGTGTAAAAGGTTACTAATACTTCCTGAGCTATACCAGAAAAAAAGCATTGTGATAGGACCCATCTTTATCATGATTATTAAGCTAGCATGTAATCATCTTGTGATTAGTGGTGGTATCTAATCCTCTAACTTGTTCCCACCTCATGAATTCTCAACTGGTACCAAAAATTCTTAGTGTCCTGCACATTAGATTCACAATATGTTTTTCTTAACCAAATGTGATCCTTCTGCAATTTCAGCATGAGATACCCCGTTGACATCATGACTTGTGGACACTGCCTCTCAGTTTGTAGACTTTAAAATTTCAGTAAGGACTTGTTGTACTCATCACCAATGAAAATTGGACCAGCCAGTAGAATGTTTCTCTCTGTTGTTAATCATCATCTAGCAAAATCTGCTTGTTAATGGCTACCTGGTCTGTTTCTTATCGGTATTGCACTTCTTGTGCTACCTTTGTAGCCTTGTTGAAGCCCATGTTAGAGCTGAGTTTTATGGGCAGTGAAGCAACAAGTCAGTTGAAAAAGACTGTGCTAACAACAGGTGGTTTTGGCAAAACCATGCTGCATTTCCATTCATTTTCTGTTCACTTTATTTCTTAATTCAAAACATGGCTGAGCTTTAGAAGACCACTGGTGTAAAATTCAGTCTTATGATCCCTTCAAACAGTTTGAAATACAGCCTCCGAACTCCTATTCTCCAGCTATAGCACCCTATCCAGTGAGATTTACTAAGCCTTTGCTGCCAGACTTAAAATTGTTGAGTTGTTCTCTTGGGTGTTATGGGCTGGAAACTGGGCTTGCCTGCAGTCTTGCAACCTGTCAAAAGCTTCTGCTTTGTCTTGAGAGCTGATATTGCAGCTGAAAGCAGGTATTTTGTGAGATGACTGATGGTTGTCTAGATGCACCACTGCAAAAATCCTCCCTTCCTGTGACTCCACATATGCCAATTTAGTGCTATATAGCCCATTTTGGTTTAGATTTTGTAGCCTTCATGCTGTGATACTGTATGATTTAAAAAAAAAAAAAATATTCTGGAGTGAGCCCAAATAGCCAAGTAATGTGGCCAGTAGTTTTGGAAATTTTTTGAGTGTTTTAGGAGAAGACCTCTTAGACTACTGTCATTAAAGTGTTGCCTGTTTTGGTGTCTCAGTGTTGTCATTTGTGCTGAAGAGACAGCAAGATGGCTAGATATGCACTTAAGTACTGGTTCTTTCTGTCATTCTTAAAGGAAATGAATCAGTAATTGCAGGCACTGTCTGCCCTTTGAACAAAAAAAAATGCTGGAAATGAAGCAGGAGGGATCCTATGAAAAATGAAACAAGCCTATGTGGGCATGAAATGCGTGGGGGGCTACAGACTTTGCTTTGAACAAGCAAGAAGCTGTTAGGTGTATGCAAAAGGCTGATGGTATTCAGTAGACTGGGATGGGCTGTGGGGATTTGTAGATGAGGAAATGCAAGTCTTGAGCAACTAGGAAATATGAGTGGCAGCTTTAGGATAAGCCTGCAGGAGAACTTCTCTCAGTACTATGGGGACCAACTGCTTCCACAGTTTGGAATTGCTAATGCATTTGGTATTCTGCAAGCACTGGTTTTCCATACAATGCCACTGTCTTGGGGTCTGGGCAGAGGGTAGGCAAGGAAATTCTTGCCTCCCAAAGCAGAGAATGAAGCAGGCCTTTAGAGCAGCAAGAGCAAGTAGTAATAAACATTTTTTTTTTCTAGTCATTTGGATAACTAAAAGAATTTTAAAAGCTAATTTCATTTTTATTCCATCAACTATGTATTATACAAATAAATGAGCAGTTATTTTTTTAATACCTTGAATTTAAAACTTGAGTGCGTTCTAATTATTTTGGCATCTGTAACACTGCCTTATGTAATTGAATATAGTATTGAAAGCCCTACTTCAGTGTTCAGCCAGCAGTTTCTAGTGGCAGATCTAAAAAATAGTTTCATATGCAAACAAGGTCTTCAAGCTTTTCAGTTTTTAATTTTGCCGTTTCTGCTGTTCAGCCTTGTACAAGAGATGGAAATAGATGGGAAGGGTTTTCTGTAACTATTGAGACAGTAGTGAGAACAAGTATTGTCACACGCTTATGGGAAATGTAGATTTTTTTTTTTTTTTCTTGTAGCAGGGCATACACTTGCATGACAATTACTGCCTCTTAATTTTGATTTACAGACTATAGGCTGCTAGTATTGTATCTCCTTTTTAGTCTGATTTGGAGAACTTTATTTCTTGGGCTGTAGAATGTCAAGATTTCAGAAACCCTTGTTTAATTTACCTTGTTCTGGTGGTCACTGTATTATTATTTTTAAAAATAGTAGTGTTCATCAGTTTGGTACAGCTGTTG